GGGGGGCAGCGCCCTCCAGGGGCCTGGGCGTTGGCAGCGCCGGACCCCGGGCCTCCCCGGGGCAGCGGGACTCCGGGGCCGACAGGCAGGGGCGTGAGAAACGCAAACTTGCGTCCTGGCCTATGGCTCAGTGGTTAGTGCGTCACCCTGACCCCAGCACCCACCTGGGTGCAGGCGGATCCCACCCCGCCGGGTGCGTGCAGGAGGCGGCCCCTCCAGGCCTCTCTCCCCCTGTTCCTCTCTCCTCCCCTCCCCTCCCTCCCACGCCCCCTAAACCCTTGGGTGAGGATTTACAGAGAAAATGAAGAGAAATACAGGCGCCCCCTGTGACATGAAGGGGGGCCGGGAGGTGAGCTCAGCGCAGGGGACAGACAGCACCGCCAGCGTCATGTGGGGACGGACCAGGGGCGGCGGCCTCCGCTCTGTACGGGGCGGGGGCGTGGGGGTCGCTGTGTGGCCCTGGCACCGGGGGTCCTGGAGCCACCGTCACCCACAGCTCCACCCACACAGGAGGCCTCGATCTGCCTGGGGCTGGGGCTGGAATCACAATCTGCAGTCACAGGTGCCTGACTTCACTCTGAGTCAAAACAAAACTGAGAAGTCTTCAAGAGTTTGTATGTTCAGCAGAACTGGAAACCTCCATATTAGTTCCAGCTGGCAGATACTAGAGGCCATTCCCCTAACCTTTCCCTGCTGACCAAGCCCTACCTTTGACGTGTATATCTGCTGTCCTGAAGGCCAATGTGTTTCCAGTGAATAAAAAGCCCTGGGTCCCCTGGTTCCGGCAGCTTAGTCCCGAGAGCTGAGTCCCCGCCTGGCTCCCCAAATGCCCCCCAGATTTATCTTTCCCGTCCGGTGTTATTCCTTTACGCGCAGCCCCTTCCCAGATCCTGAAGAGCCCTCACAGCAGCTCTGAGCATTTCACCCTAAGGTCTCCTCTCACTGCCAGAGGCTTGGGGACCATCTCAGTGGCTGTGCAGGAAAAGCTATACATTCTGTGCTGATCAATTCTGCCGCGATGTGTGCGGTTTGATGAGAGACTGTGATCTGAGAATGAGTCGCACACACTGAGGCGTCACCTAAAAAGCATTTTGTTGGGGGAACAGTTTGCATTGAGAGGAGCTCAGATCCTGTTTCTGGTGAGTCTCACCCACTGGTGACCCCGCCTGAGCCGTGGGGCTGGGAGGCCCGGGACCATGCAGTTCCCTCTCTGACCTGGAGGAGGCGCCCTCTCCCCGTTCATGTGAGTCCCGGCGGCCTCCTGGGTCTCACTTTATGCCCTGGGTTCTGGTTGTCGCTCATGTTGGCTGTAGTGCACGTGGATGTGGAGCACGTGGCTGTGGTGTATGTGGCTGTGGTGACGTGGCTGTGGTGCACGTGGCTGTGGTGTATGTGGCTCTGGGGCACGTGGCTGTGGGAGGAATGGGCTTCTGGGAGGGGCTGGCGCTCCCTGCACCTCGGTCCTCCTATGAGCACGGGCCGTCCAGCAGTGCTGACCTCTCACGCACACGTGTGTAGAGAGCGTGGGGTGCGATTCTTACTTCACCCCCGATACCCCGGTGCAGTGCTCACGCCCAGCCCATTAAGGTTCTTTCCAAACACCGATCTCCACAGACGCAGCCCAGGCCGTGGGGAGCAATGCCTTGTCCTGGACGGGGCAGGGGTGGCCCCAGATGTGCCGGGAACATCCCGCTGGGCCACAAATTACGGAAAACCCATGGAAAGAGGGACACGTGACACAGGAATCCAGGAGGCCCTTAAAGGACAACCTCTGCAGAAACCTGGGGCTATTTCAGCACCAGAATCAATGGGATTCATGGTTAGATCCCGTGAATGAAACAGGAAAAGCGGAGGCCATCATGACATCAATAGGACGAGTGAATGAAAGGGTGAGAAAATGGAAGGATGAGGGAATGAGAGAGTCAATGAATGAATGAATGAATGGAAAAATAAATGAGTAAATGGATGGACGGATAAGTGAGTGAGTGAATAGATGAATGAGAGTATAGAGGAATCAGGGAGTGAGTGGATGGATGAAGGAATGAGTGAGTAAATGAATTAATGGGTGAATGGATGGATGGATAGATAGATGAGGGACTGAGTGGATGGATGGATGGATGGATGAATGAGTGAGTGGGTGAATGGATGGATGAGTGAATGGGTGAGTGAGTGAATGATACCTGAGGACAGGGCCTCCTTCCAGTGAGTGGTGTTGGTCAGAGGAGAAAATCAGTTGGTAAATGCAGGTGAGAAGTGGAACGTGCTCACAGGCTGAGGTCTCTCCCCAAACTCGCTCAGCTCCACGAGCCTCACGTCTCAGGGTTTCTCCGGAAGTCTGACCCGGAACCAGAGATTGACCTGCCCTCAAAGCATCTTGTCCGAGTTATTTTATTGATAATGTGGACGGAAGGAGCCACATGCTGACCTGACAAGCTCAGGGGAGGCCTGTGTGGCCGTCTTGCAAACTCAGAGACCTAAAGTCACCACAAAGGATGGTCTGAAAAGTAGATATTTAACTACAAACAGGTTATGGTGGGTAGTCATGCCCTAAGCTGATATTTTCCCTGACAAAGATCAACTTTGATCCTTACTGAGCCCATTTTTGTAGATACTTGCAAGTTGAAATTCTCTATGAATTGTACATGTACCCTGCTGGAGTATTAACAGGGGGTTGGGATTCTTGGGGTTTAGCAACCTCAGAGGTGCAATTTCCCATTTTTTAAAAACTTTATTATGATTATTGAATATCTGTAGAGTCTGAGCAGATTTCCTCGGGGTGTTCTGTAGTGGGTTGCAAACTGTGCTGCTATGGGTTGAGCTCCATGAGGCTGTCACCCCTCATGTCGCAATTCAACCCTCTTACGTGTCTCGGTGTCTAAAACAGCCAGAAGGGCTGGGGCGCTGGCTTACCAGGCCTTATGGGCGCTCCCCCGGACCAGCCAGTCAGTTCATTACAGTTGAGTTGGAATTTCCCTGTGGGGCTCCTGCACGTTGTGAGGTATAACCTCTGACACCTCC